GGAGGGACAGCGCAGGAGAGAAAGGCCCTCTATGAGGTGGATTGACTCAGTGACTGGGATAACTGGGATGAGAGTGTCGGAGACAGTGCGATTGGCACAGGACAGAGTGGAGTTTAGGGCTGTTGTACATAGGGTCGTTATGAGTCGCAGGCGACTCGACAGCACACATAACAACAACAACATTCTGTTTTCATCCACTATCTATCCGACATACACAGGGATAACCTTGGTGCGAAGGTCTCTTTTAAAACCAGCTTGAACTTCTAGTAGTTCCCTGTAAACGTACTGTTCCAGCCATTTTTTTTTTAATTTTTTTGTGTGTGTGTGTGCACCGTCAAATCGGATCTGACTGGTACAGGAGGAGACTGCCCCTCCTTCTCCAGCAGAGCATCTGGTGGATTTGAACTGTGCGCCTCTGGGATTGCAGTGCAGCTTCTTGTCACTAGGCCACCAGAGCTCTTTCCAGCCATTTTTTAATGCTCTTAAACAATATTTTGCTTGCACTGAATATTAATTATGTTGTTTGAGAATTTACACATTCTGTTGGCTCACCTTTCTTAGTAAGGTGGCAAGGAAGCTGTCCTCCAAATTTCCTGGCATAAACTAGTAAGCACATCCAGGGCTGCATCTGTTAGTTGAAACATGTCAATTGGTTTTCTATAAATTTCTGGGACCTTATGTTTAGTCAATGCCTTCAGTGCAGCTTGAACTTCATTGTTCATCACTGTTGGCTCTTGTTCACATGGTACTGCCTGAAATTTTTCAGTGTGAACTAATTTTTTATTTATTTTTCTTTTTTTGTATAGTGACTCTGTATATACCTTCTATTTTCTTTTGATGCTTCTTGGATCACTTAAGATTGTGCCCATAATATCTCTTAGTTTTGTACCTTAAGGCATTGACATCCTGAACCCCAGTGTTGGTATAAGTATGCTTTGAGGTGGCTACATCTAGAGGTCTCAGAGCCATAAGGGGACAAGAAGGCCTAGGGTGATCAGGTCACAAGAGGAAAGGGTATCCAGGATCATGTAGCAACACAAGGGGTTTTGGTGCTGCTCCCAGGCCAGTGTTCTTCTCATAACAGGTTAGTACCAGTCATGCACTGGATCTGACCTCCCAGTCCCGTTACTCAGGAGAGAAGTACCCTGGGGGCTACAATGAGGCTGAGGGGTGCATCTGATTCTCCTAAGGTAGCTGCCGTCAAAGGATTGTGGCAATCTGTTTCTGCAGATTAGGATGGGGAGAACTGGAATCTGAAAGGTCCCAGGCTCAAGAAAGGGTGGAGGTGGGCCATGTCCTCTGAACTTATATTTGTTATAGAAACCAATCGGAAGCATGTATTGTGACCCAGGTGTGTTAGAAATCTTAATGAAGTAACCTCAGTATAAAGGAGAGAAAGGGCTGACTGTGGACATGCAATGGAGGCAGGGGATTCTCCAACACTAGAAGGCAGAGCCATGGTGAGGGTGAGGGGTTGAGGAATGAAGTTGGGGCTTAGAGGCATCACTGATTAAAGGTAAGGTTGTTTAAAGAACTCTAAATCTCCTCCTGCTCTCTGATTGGAAGACACCACCAGAGGGACCTGACTTTGATGTGGAGTCAGACTGATCATATGACCAAAGCCACAGACCTACCATGGGCTCCAGAACCCAGAGATGGAGTAAGGGAACTGGGCAAACGAGCCTCATGGAGGCTATACAGGACAGAGGAAAGGGTCCTATGTGGGGAGGTAAGAAGCATAGGACTAGAGACAGATAACAGAAGCATCTGGCCCCAGAGTGCATGTGTCCCACTGACAACCTAAGAGAGGACAATCGTGCCAAGGTGAGAAGACAGCTACAGAAGTTCAGAAGACAGGCATCACAACAAAACTATGTCCACTGGACAGGAATCAACGAGGCACAAGACTGTGGCCTGGGATTGCCTGGCCATGTGAAGGACCTAATTGTGAGGATGGCACAGAATAGGACAGGGTTTAAATAATTTGTTCATAGGGTTGCTATGGGTTGTACTTGACTTGAAGGTACTTAACGACAACAGTGATCCTGAACATTTCTTCATGTGTTTAAAGTGTCCTGAATGTCTCCATAAGTTAATCCTACTGGACTGCATGGAGATGGTATGCTCATGTGTTCAGGTAAACAGAAAGTATCAAAGACATGCAACTGTGACAAATGAATGCTTCAGAGCTCAGGACTGAAGATGAAGTCTGAGCAGTCTTGTCTGTCCCAGGACTTGACCCAGGCTGAATGACACTACAGATTACCTGACTCTGCACTACTATCCTGCTCAACGAAGAAGGTAAAGATGTTAAAAAAAGAAGGTAAAGATGTAAGGAAGGGAGAATCCTAGGTAACTGTTTTTGCAAACAGGTGTGAACCGAGACAGCATTGGAAAAAAACTGAGAAAATGAAATCCTATGTGCATCAAAGGATTTCTCCAAAAGAGTGAAAAGAAAACCTACAGATGGGGAAAAAATACTTAGCAATGACACTTCTAACAAGGAGGTCAACTCTAAAATTTGTAAAAAAACTCCAACATCTCAAGAAGGCAAAGATAACCCAATCACAAAATGAGGAGGGGGCATGGGAAGACATTTCACCAAAGAAGAAAGTCAGATGGCCAACAAGTCAAGTACAACCCACAGCGACCCTATGAAAAAATAACTTGAACCCTGTCCTATCCTGTCCCATCCTCACAATCTCTAACATACATGAGCCCACTGCTGCAGTCACTGTGTCAATCCATCTGGTTGAGGGTCTTCCTCTCTTTTGCTAATCCTCTACCTTTCCAAACATGATATCCCTCTCCAAGGAATAACAACACCTAGAACATGCATGTGAGATGAAGCTTTATCATCTTTGTCTCCAAGAAGCACTCTGGATGAACCTTTCCATTCACCCAATTTATCTGCTTATTAATTTTTACTCCCTATTCCCTCCCTTGCCATCCCTTTTATCTCTCCAAAATTCATTCTGTTGTGTGTGTAAACCTCCCTTGTTCTTATTATGTGCCGTCAAGTTGCCTGCAACTGATAGCAACCCTATATACAATAGTCCTAAACCCTTGCCATTCTTACTGTCTCTGACAAGCCTATCCCCATTACCACTGTGACTGAATCAATCCATCTCATCGAGGGTCTTCCTCTCCTGCACTGTCCTTCCACCCTCCCAAGCACGATGTCCCTCTCCAAGGACTGATCCCGCCTTGCAACATGTCCAAAGTATGTCAAACAGAGCTTCAGAATCCTTGCCTCCAAGGAGCAGACTGGCTTCACCCTCTCCAGGACGAACTTGTTTGTTCTTCTAGCAGTCCATGATATGTTCAGTACTCTTCTCCAGCACCAAAGCTCAGAGACATCAAGTCTCCTGTCATCCCTAGTCATTGACAAGCTCTCTGATTCATAGCAAGTAATTACAAAGACCATGGTCTGTATCAGGCACACCTTAGTCTGTCTTAGACTGTTGCTCTTCAAAACTTTGGAGGTCTTTGACAGTAGACTTTTCCAGTGCAATTCGTCTTTTAATTTCCTGGCTGATGGTATCAAGAATGTTGATTGTAGAGCCAAGCAAACGGAAGCTGTCAACAATCTCAGTCTCTTCATCATTTATCATGATGCTGCCAGTCAGGCCAGTGGTGAGAATCTTTTTTAATCAATGACAAATGATATTACAAAACAAAAATCTATCAATGTTTGTATGAAAAAGCACTTTGATATGTAAACCTCTACTCAAAGAAGGAAGAAAGATAAGACAAGCTACACAGCAAGCACACTTACCCACTGATGATCTCTTTATTTTCAGCCCGGATGAAATGCTCCTTCTCAGGTGTCAGAATACACAGAGAGAACTTTTGGCCAGTTCGACCCTCCCCATCTACAACATCTGTGCACTGGTTCATGTTGATGGTACCCTGGGGAAGGGTAGTAGGCTGTAGAGAACAGAAGGGGTAAGCACATGGTTACAGAACAAGGCCACATCCACGTCATCCTCTGCTCCCTACCTAGGCTGCTTCTGACCGCGGACAACTTTTCTGTGGGAGTAACTTTTTTTTTTTTTGTTTTTAATTAATTTTAATGAACATTTACAGAGATTTTGGATTTCCATTCATTCATTGTTGCACTTTTCTCCCTGCCCATCCCTCCCCTTCAGGTTGCTCTTCTCTTTGAAAAGTAAAAGAAAAATTCCTTCATTGGTATACAATCCCCCCCCACCCACCCCTCCACTATGCAACTTTCATTCCGGACTCTTGTGATAACCATAATAACCTATCATATATCCCTTTTAAACTGTTCTCTCCCTCATCTGTTTCAATGTAGTATACATAATTTATCCAGTTTATCTCAGTCTTACCCCAACCCTGATGTCAGTCCCATTCTACAACAGTGGCACTATGCAGTATGTGTCTTTGTGTGACTGAGATATGGGAGTAACATTTTAACTGGATGTTGAATGCCTGCTCCCTGATAACAGTGCAGGCACAGTGAATCTCTTCCAGGACCTACCCTCAACCTTTAGGGAAGAGGAACGGCAAGCATTTGACTTTGTCCTGAGGATGGGGCACATTTCCTTGTTGCAGGAGAGGTCAAAGGATAGACAATAGGGCACAGCTTCATAGGACAGCTGAGAAGAGAGGCAGTCAATAGCCTGTCTCATAAAAGTGCAGTAACACAAAGCTCCAGAGGAGTTGCTATAACACAGACAGCGTATTCTTAGAGGCAGAGAAGGGGCCAAGGAGAAGCTGTATTTCAAAGAGTAGGCTTGTGGAATTGGGTGGGAAGGGCTATCACATCCAGAACTTCTTTCAGAGAAGGTCAAGGAGCCCCCAAGGAGTCTGGAGGGTGGCACAAAACACCTTCCAAAGACTACCTGGGGCTGTACTGGAAATAGCACTCTGGCAAAAACCCTTTTATGCTTGATAGGAAAACCTCTTTGGCATTTAAAGGGGGACATGTAATGAAGGCACAATGTCATTTTGAGCCCTAATTCTGCTAGTGAAGAAATGGTTCCCAAGGTATCCATTAACAGAGAGTTAGGATCAAGATTACAGAGTGGAAGGAACTCAAAAGGCAAAGGGATTTTCAAAGGACTAAGGGCTCTATACCTCCTTCCAAAAAGTATTTCAGAAGCTGGGCAAGGGGTCAAGAAAATTGAAATTGTTACTTCAGTTATCAGGATCTCTGGCAGATCTAATCACAACAGCAATCCTGTCTACATCTCTTCACACATGACTCATCATGAGGTGGGCACAATGGTTGTGCTGCCAACCCAAAGGCATGATATTCAAATCCATAGCTGCTCCATAGGAGAAAGACGGACAATCTCCTTTCATATGATATACAGCCTCTGCAAACCCACTAGAGGGTCAACTATGGGTTGGTTCTGACTTGATGATACGTTACAATGTAACACAAGTAGGGAGCTCTCCTAAGAGTTGAGCTGTCAAACCAAAGGCACTCAATTCAGATCCACCAGTTGCTTCACAAAAGTAAGATGGATAATCTACTGCCATGCAAATTACAGTCTCTGAAAACCTGCTGCGGGGTGTTGGCTATAAGTCAATTCTTGCTCAATGATAAACAACATGACATTTACAGAAAGTGGAGCAAACAAAAAGTAACTAAATAACAGTCACAAAAGGAAAACTGGGCTTAAGATCCAAACTCTTATCTATGATAGTAAAGCCCAATTTCTACTGGTTTATGGGTCATTCTTCACTTATCAAACATCTCATCACTTGGCATTTCTCACAATGGTAAAACAGTACTCTCTGATGTACATATGTACAATAACATTCATCTGGAAGCAATGATTGCTAAAGTATGAGGTAAGAGTAATGTTGACTGTGATGGTTAAGGTTATGTGTTGATGAGGCTATAATACTAAGTGGCTAGGCAGTTACATCATGATGTAATTTGGCAACTTGAAAAAGATGTAGCCATCAGAAAAGTCTTGTTGCTCTCATTCTTAGTTATCCTTGAAATTAATGTTTCTGTTCAGTAACAACTTTACTAAAATATGTTGTTGTTGTTATGTGCCGTTGAATCATTTGCGACTCATAGCGACCCTATGTACAACAGCCCTAAACCCGGCTCTATCCTGTGCCAATCTCATTGCCTCCGACACACCCATCCCGATTACCCCAGTCACTGAATCAATCCACCTCATAGAGGGTCTTCCCCTCCTGTGCTGTCCCTCCACCCTCCCAAGCATG